CCGGCGAAAAATTTATCTTTAAATGCCAGAACTATCACAAGACAAACTATGAACAACTCAAATTGTATAACACTGTCTTTTGTGGATCCCAGAAAACAAGCATTTGAGACTCAACATGAATGAGTAAATGCTCCAATACCGTGCACACAGATCAACATAATTGAGAACAGATGTTTTATACTCATCTGCATTTCTTTTAAAAACCAAGAAAGTCAAATGTTTAGTAACTTTTGAGAAACTATTTCTAGTGCAGGATTGATTAATAAAGGATTGCTTAAAGAAAACTATTTCGTACTGCATTGAATAAAGCTAAAATGCAAACTCATTACAATAAATGATCATTAAGTATTGATTTAGATTTCAGGATGCACAACAAATTTTTTTTTAAGTCTAAAACCTTTCTTTCAGTTAAAAAAAATTGTCGTCTATATTTCTACAATTCATTTGAGTCAAGTTCTGTTTTCTCAAACACCACAGTTAACATTCTAGAATATGTAATATGAATTCATGTACTCTCTGTATTTTAAAGGGTATTTCTTATAAAATTCCAATTAGCACTGTCCTCCTACTAGAGGGAAAAGGAACCAAATAAAACCGTAGGGTTTCATTTGGTACTTAAGAGCCCAGTAATACCCTTTGGGAAACACATGCTTTGGTGCTTAGAATTTCAAGAAAATCAAAATTGCTTACATGCAATAGCTAATTGTAGCCTACCACAAAAAAACAGGGGGTTTTATGCATTTAGAATTGTTCACATGAAGCCCTGAAGTACCTGTCTTTCATTTAGGCAACAGACAGCCTCCCCTGATTTTGTATAGTCTTTGTCACCATCTTCCCCAGTGCCCCAAATTCAAAATAGTCTGACTAACAATCTTGTCTGGAGATACAGTCAATTTAATAAGATTTATTATGATACAGACTGTGCAGATCATCAAATTTTGAAGCACTGTCATCTAGTGGAGTTTCACTTGCATTGCCCAGGTCTCCATTTTCATGTGCGTCTGTTACTGCCTTCTTATTAAATCCTTGTAATACTTTGACATCCCCGCTTGTGTCTTTGCAACTAGCACCAGGATTACCACCTCCTTCTAACTCATCAAGGTACAAACGGTAACGATGTCCACTCTCATCTTCATACTCTATGTTTTCATCATCAGAATCCACTTCAGGGGCCACATAAACTACTTCAAATTCAATCTCTCTTCTCTGCTGGGAAAGAATGGTTACAGCTTCTTTATGCTTTGTATCCCTTAGGTTAACTCCATTGACTGCCAAAATAGCATCCCCAACATGCAGCCTTCCACATCTATCAGCAGGTTGCCCCGGATGGATCTCAGAGATGAGGACTGGAACACCATGTTATTTCCCACCTGTAATCGAAATGCCAAGGCCTTCATCATCTTCCTTAAGGAGGAGAACTTTTCTAATTGGACCAACACCTTGGCTTTTCTTTAGGGACTCTTGATCATGGCCTGGTGGTGCTTGCAATGGTTGTTTCAAGTCATTACGGCCTCTGCAGGCTCTGATCACAGTTTTGGGACGATGCAAATGTATTTCAGCTTCCAGTTGGTTCCAACGCTTATCATGAGCAGGTCCCTTCATATCTTGTCCTGGCAATTGTATTTGTTGGACTCTTCCTGCCAGTTCCTTATCCAAGTACTTGGCAGCCAGTCTTGCCCCATATACTTCAGCCTGGAGAACATCTATATGTCTACGAAGGGCTTCATTCTCTTTTCTCAACAATTTTACTTCAGCTTCAAGTTGCGCTTCTTTCATTTTTTCTTTTTTATTTGCCTCAAGCTCTCTTTCCAATTTTGCCTTAATGGTACCAGAGTCAACACTTTGACCAGTTTTAGCATGAAGCTGAAGCTGAATAGAGTGCAACTGTAAAAGTTGATCATGTACTTCTTTCTCCAAAACAACTTTCTCTGCTTGGGTTTCTGTCAGTTCAGACTTCAGGTCCACCAACTGTGCCTCCAGCTTGTGGTTGATTTGAGACACAGTCTGGGCTTTGTGGCAAAGCTGTGCAAAGCAGGAGCTCAGGCTGGTCATCTTCTGCCGCCCCTCATAAGAAATGTCTGCCTGGTCGGGATCGATCTCGCCCAGGAGCAGATCCACATCCACAAATGCTTTGTCGAATTCCTTCTCCAGCACCTCCAGCCACCGGAACATGAATACCCCGCCGAGGGAGACACCCACGGAGCAGGAGGCGCCCCCTGGGCCCCCTCCGGCTGCTGCTGGGCATGGGCCGCCCGCCGACATGGCGCCGTCAAGGGCCTCTCCCGACTGCTGAAGACCCTCGCCGCCCACCCTGCACGAGGGGAACTGCTGGGACTGACGGGACCCCCACGCGCGCACTGACGCTCCGTCACCTCCCTTCACCTCGCGCTGGTAACGCCAGCTACAGAACCCCCGAACCCCAAGAGTAACGAGGATGAGGCTGAGGCGGCAGCGGCGGCAACACACGGAAGCCTTGGTCCGTCCCACCTCCCAGCCCGCCCCCGCTGCCATGTTGGACCTTTTCTGAAAATGTGGGTCTATGGTAGAAAAATAGTCTGGTTAAAGGGCAAAATCAGCTTGGCACAGTGGCTCACATCTCTAATCACAGCACTTTGGGAGGCCAAGGTGGGCAGATCGCCTGCGATCAGGAGTTTGAGACCAGCCTGCCCAACATGGTAGAACTCCGTCTCTACTAAAAATACAAAAATTAGCTGAGCATGGTGGTGGGCACTTGTAATCCCAGCTACTTGGGAGGTAGCTTGAACCAGGAGGAGAACTGCTTGAATCCAAGAGGCAGAGGTTGCAGTGAGCCAAGATTGCACCATTGCACCCCAGCCTGGGCAACAAGAGCAGGCTCCATCTTATTCATTCATTCATTCACTCATAAATAAATGAACAAACAAACTGGGCAAAATTATGCATTATTCCAGGGTACGTAAGTTTGAAAACTGGTTTAAGATGGAAATAAAATTAATATAGGAAAAACATCAATATAAAAATCAAATTTGGGCCAGGCACAGGGGGTTATGACCATAATTCCAACACTTAGGGAGGCTGAAGCAGGAGGATCTCTTGAGGCCAAGAGTTAAAGACTAGCCTCTGCAACCTAGAAAGATCAAACCGTTTGTCTTTTCTTTTAGTACAGACAGGGTCTTGCTAGTCCTAGACTGGTCTAGAACTCCTGGGTTCAAGCAATCTTCCTACCTTGGCCTCCCAAAGTACTGGGATTACAGGAGTAAGACACTGCACCCCGTTTCATCTCTATTTTTTATAAAATAAAAAATTTTTAAATGTTTAACAAAAGAAAATCAAATTTGTTTTACCTGTTGGCTAGATCATGTAGAGCTCCCAAGGTATCACTGTCTCCTCTACAACCATTTTCTTGATTATGTTGCTTATGTGTATCTAAAGAAATTTAAAAATTGATTACTCTTTATGTTTGTACATTCTAATATTCAAGGATCTCTTGAAATTCTAGAACAACTTCTATATAGAAGAAAACAAAAAAATCAAAATAATATGCACACTAATAGGAAAAGATAGTTTTCTATTGATAAGTGTAAAGTGATGACCAGAAAAGTAATAAGACAATATCTAGCTCTCATAAAAGAAATGATGGCTAATACTAAAACAAGTTTTAGTATTCTTGAATACTAAACAAGTTTTAGTATTTAGTATTCTTCAAGGAGTAAGAATCCATAGTTCCCCAGTGTTATATGCCTCATGTTTATATACACAGATCATGCGATTATCAAAAAAAACAGCAAGGCCAAAAAGTTACAGTCTTAGCATATTTCAGTGCACATTTATGACATCGGTCAACTTATATATTTATTTTTCAACCTATGACTGAATAACTGAATAACTACATGCTACTAACATACTAATGATGGGAAAGAAATAAAAGATGGAGACCATGCCTCCAAAGAGTCAGCCTAGGAAAAGATAGTGATGAGTCAAGTGTTATGTTATACAGTACTATGACAGAAGTATACACAGAATTTAACGAGGCAGAGGAGAGACATCCAGCCCAGACTGGGGATGGGAAGAAGGCATGAAAGTACTGAAAGAATGACGTACAAGTTGCTATGCTGAAGCACAGGGTATATCCAGTGGAAGCATGCTGGGAAATAAGATTGGTGAAGAAAGCCATGGCTGGATTACAGAAGATCTGACAGTCCAAGGGCTCAACCTTTTTCAACATGTTACCTTCTGAAAGGCTTTCCCCATTTTTATATGTCCAAAGTGAAACAGAAGCCACAATGAAAGAGGATGACACCATAAAAAACAGGCAGTTATAGAAAAGAAGTAAGTATGGCTTACAGAGGTAAAAAGTATGTACCTATGACTACTAACTACTAAACAGGCCAAAAAGCAGATTAAACATAACTGAAAGATAATCAGTGCGTTATAAGAGAGATCTAAAGAAAATACCTAGAAAGAAGCCATGAGATACAAAAAAAATTATAAATATAAATGAGAAGTTAAAAGAAATTAAAGACAGAAGTCCCAACAACAGGAGTTTTGGAAGGAAAGGAACAAAAGAATATGAGACAAAGTAATATTATAAGAGATATTGGTGAATACGTTTCTAAAACTGAAGAAAGTTAAGAGCTTTCAGAATAAATAAGCACACACAAACCACAAATAGGCAAATTCTTTTCTCAAATTTTTTTTTTTTTTTGTGAGACAGGGTCTTGCTTTGTCACCCAGGCTGAGTGCAGTGGCACAATCATGGCTCACTGCAACCTCAACTTCCTGGGCTCAAGCCAACCTCCCATCTCAGCCTCCCAAGTAAATGGGACCACAGGTTTGTGACACCATGCCCAGCTAATTTTTTGTATTTTTTTGTAGAGACAGGATCTCATTACATTGCCCAGGTTGGTCTCCCAGGCTCAAGTAATCCTTCTTCCTCCGCTTCCCAAAGTAGTGGGATTACAGGCATGAGCCACCATGCCCAGCCAAAGAAAAGCCTTAAAAGCAACCAGAAATCAAAAATTAACTAACTACAAATGGGCTGAGCCCAGTGGCTCATGCCTGTAATCCCAGCACTTTGGGAGGCCAAGGTAGGCAGATCACATGAGGTCAGGAGTTTGAGACCAGCCTTGCCAACATGGTAAAACTCCATCTTTACTAAAAATATATAAATTGGCCAGGCATGGTGGCACACACCTGTAATCCCAGCTACTTGGAAGCCTGAGGTAGGGGAAGCATTTGAATCCAGGAGGCAGAGGTTGCAGTGAGCAGAGACTGTGCTCTTGCACTCCAGCCTGGGCAACAATAGCAAAAACTCCCTCCCAAAAAAAAAAAAAAAAATTACGAATAGGCCAGGCGCAGTGGTTTATGCCTGTAATCCCAGCACTTTGAAAGGCCAAGGCAGGCAGATCACTTGAGGTCAGCAGTTCAAGACCAGCCTGGTCAAGGTGGTGAAGCCCCGTCTCTATTAAAAATACAAAAATTTGCAAGGTGTGGTGGCGCATGCCTGGAATCCCAGCTACACAGTTAGCTCAGGCAGAATTGCTTGAACCGGAGAGGCAAAGGTTGTAGTGAGCTGAGATCACAACATTACATCTAAGTACAAATGAACGACAATTAGACCAACAGCAGACAGACTCAGAAACAACAAAAAACAATGAGATCATATCATCAAAGTCCAAAAGAGAAATAAGTGTCAACCTAGAATTCTATATCCAACCAAACTATCATTCAACAATGAGTGAAAATGAAGACATTTTCACAAAAAGACTGAGAATTTTACTATTCAGAGTCCAAGAATTAAGCATATGCTTTGAGATACACTTCTCAAAAGGAGAAAAACAAAAGAATAGACCAAAAAAGTCATTAATCATGTTGGTCAATTTAAACAAAGTAAACAGTAAGAACAATTTCTATCAATGTCATTCAAAAAAAGGAGAGGCATTATTCTAGAGTAAAAGTTACTAAGAGAATAAACAATCACATGTAATGAACTAACCTTCCTTGGATCCTGGTTTGAAAAATACAAACATTAACATGGGACCTTTTGGAATTTGTAAGAAAAATTTCATTTATAAATTTTAAAAAAGAGAAAGAAAAATGTTATGTATAGTCTATAAGCCTATATATGTAATAAAATTATTTTATAAACATAATCAGAACAAAGATTATATTCAGAATAGTGAAATCAGTAAGGAAGTTGAAGAAAGGTGGATATCCAAGGATTAACTACATATGTACATTTTTTAAAAATCTAAAGTGAAGATTGCAAAACTTTGCCAAAAAGTGGTGTTTAATAAACAAGTATGTATATTATTCTCTATACTTTTCAATATGCTAAAATACAATTTTTAAAAACATTTTTAATNCACACACACACACAAATTAGTTGGGTGTGGTGGCACACACCTACACTCCCAGCTACATGAGAGGCTGAGCGGCAAGGATCACCTGAGCCTGGGGTGGTGAAGGCTACAGTGAGCTGTGATTGTGCCCCTGTACTCCAGCTTGGGCAAGAGTGAGACCCTGTCTCAAAAAAAAAAAAGAAAAAGAAAAAGTTCTGGAATCAGATAGTGATAATGACTAAACAGCACTGTAAATATACTAAATGCCGCTGAGTTATACACTTTGCAATAACTGAAATAGTGAATTTTATATTACATGCATTTCACCACAATAAAAAAATGGAGAAAAAAAGACAAAGAACATAAATATTATCATAATGGGAAAGAATGACAAGAAGGAAGTTTAAAAGAGAAAAAGATAAATAACCAACCTGGAAGTGAAGCAGGATACTGACAAAGAATACTCTTTGCATACACTTCTTCTGAAGCAGGATCAAATGAAAGGGGAGACATTGGTGGTAAAAGATCTACAGACTTAAAACAGAAATTCACAATTTTGAAGTAAACATATTTGCTAACTACAATAACAACGCTGAGTTAATCTATAAATAAATCTATAATCATTTCTCCCTAAGACAGACAATTACCAAGCATACATCAGATAACTTTATTTATTTGTTTATTTATTTATTTATTTTTCTCAGAGACAGGTTCTTACTCCCTCATCCAGGCTAAAGTGCAGTGGCATTATCATAGCTCACTGCAGCCTCAATCTCCTGAGCTTAAGCAATCCTCCCACCTCCGCCTGTCGAGTAGCTAGGCCTACAGGGATACACCATAACACCCAGTTTTGGGGTTTTTTTTTTTGGTAGGGTTGGGGTCTCACTATGTTGTCCGGGCTGGTCTCCAATTCCTGGCCTCAAATGATCCTCCTGCCTCAGCTTCCCAAAACAGAGATTACATGTGTGAGCCACCACACCCAGCCCTGTAAAGTATTTTTAAAGCAGAGTATTAGGAGCAAGGGAGATTACTTAGTCCCTGAACTTCTCAAATGTCATAGTACCTCACATGAAGAGGAGTCCTGTTTTCTGACTGGGCATAACGGCTCATGCCTGTAATCCCAGCACTTTGGGAGGCAGATGTGGGTGGATTACCTGAAGTCAAGCATTCAAGACCAGCCTGGCCAACATGGTGAAACCCCATCTCTACTAAAAATACAAAATTAGCCAGGCATGGTAGCACATGCCTGTAATCCCATCTACCCAGGAGGCTGAGACAAAAGAACCGCTTGAACCCAGGCAGCTGCAGTGAGCTAAGATCACACCATTGCACTCTAGCCCAAGCAAAAAGAAAGAAAGGAAAATTATAGAATACACGTGAACTTTAGACTCAAATGCAAAGATGACATACATACAACATTTCTAGGTCATCTGTAACACAATAAATTCACAAATTACCATATATCAAACTATTCTCCAAAAGACAAACTGGCTGAGTGCAGTGGCTCATGCCTGTAATCCCACCACGTTGGGGAGGCCAAGGCAGGAAGATCACTTGAGCCCAGGAGTTTAAGACCAGCCTTGGCAATACAGGGAGACCTTGTCTACAAAATTAAAGAAAAATTTAGCCAGGCTTGGTGGTGTACACCTATAGTGCCAGGTACTCGAAAGGTTGAGGTAGGAGGATTGCTTGAGCCCAGAAGTTCAAGGTTACAACAAGTTATAATCATGCCACTATATTCCAGTCAGCTATGATCATGCCACTGTACTCCAGCCAACTATGATAGATTACTCTGCTCCAGCCTGGGCAACAGAGCAAGACACCGTCTCAAAAAAAAAAAAAAAAAAAAAAAAAGGTGGGCCAGGGGCAGGGGCAAGTCAATATTACTTACTGGAGTCCAACTTTTAATTAGACTGAAAGGAGACAAACCAAGAAATTCTTTCCACTTTTTATGCCATTCTCCCTGCTTTTCAACAACAGAATGTCTTACAGTTGTGAGATCATCTTTTATTCTATATCTATAATAGAAAAAAAAAAACTTTATTCAAAATATGAAGATACAAAGAAAGCATTGAGTAAAATTTAATAACAATAGCTGTAGAGAAGTGAAAGGAAAGAGAACTGCTGCAAGTTCAATCAATATACCACATACATATTAAACTCTCACAGGTGATATTCAGAACCTAAAATACCTTTCTCTCATTTTTTGTTTTTTGTTTTTTGAGACGAAGTCTCACCCTGTCACCCAAGCTGGAGTGCAATGGTGTGATCTTGGCTCACAGCAAGCTCCGCCTCCCAAGTTCAAGCAATTCTCCTGCCTCAGCCTCCAGAGTAGCTGGGATTACAGGCATGCACCACTATGCCTGGCTAATTTTGTATTTTTAGTAGAGACAGGGTTTTGCCATGCTGGATAGGCTGATTTCGAACTCCTGACCTCAAGTGATCCACCCGCCTCGGCCTCCCACAGTGCTGGGATTACAGGCATGAGTCACCACGCCCGGCCTTAAAAACATTTTTAAAGTAAATTTCGATGCAGTATATAAGGTACAGGAAGGCGGAAAAGGTTGTTTTACCACAAAAAATATAAAATAATGTTTAAGTACCCTAGCTCAGATCAAGGTATACTAGGAAAGAAAAAAGGACTCCCAAGAGTATAACTTCTAACTGGACTTCCTAAACAGACACATTTTCCCTCAGTATAAAAGTAAGTAAAGAAACCTCCAAATGGACATAAGAATTTCATGGATTCAAAGTGGTAAACTAAGCTGGACAAGAGTGCAAAAGCCCTTTCCCAGCTGAAACAAAAACATAAAAAACACAATGCCAAGAGCTCTGTTGACTAGTGGATCTGAAAAAAGACAGAGAGAGAGAAATAATAATTCAAAAATAAGATCAAAAAAGATAAAAACAAAACGAAGACCTTTCAGAAGAATTCTATCATAATTAAGGACTGTCTAAAGCTACCATGGAACCAGAATGCTCTATCTGAAGCTCGTCCTCGTTTATCAAACCATGAAGCCTTTTCTTTATTTTTTTAAAAAACAGAATCTCTTGTGCTCACTTCAGCTGTACATATACTAAAATTGGAACAATACAGAGAAGATTAGCATGGCCCCTGATCATGGATAATACTAATTTTTAATTTAAAAAAAATTTTTAAGTTAAAATTTAAGAGAAAGAGAGATAGGGTCTCACTCTTGCCCAGGCAGGAGCGTTGTGCAGTGGAGCAGTCATAGCTCCCTGCAGCCTTGAACTCCTGGGCTCAAACGATCCTCCCACCTCAGCCTCCTGAAAAGCTAGGACTAGAGGCACACACCACCATGCCTGGCTAATTTTTTATTTTTTGTAGAAAGTAGGTCTCACTATGTTGTCCAGGCTGGTCTCGAACTCCTGGGCTTAAGCAATCTTCCAGCCTCAGCTTCCCAAAGTGCTGGAATTATAGGTGTAAGTCACTATGCCCAGCCCCATGCAGACTTTTTTCTATGTTGTCTCTTCTGGTTGTACCTAAACTGAGCCTTGCTCTCTGGTCTACATTTTTTTCCAACCAGTGTACTCCCCAAATATACCTGACTCTCAAACCAATTATCTATCCCAGTGATTAAGTCCTGTGCTAACTGCTGTCATGACCTTTCGCCTGACTGAACTATAGCCTCCAACTATTACCTCCTCCAATTTAGCTATATAATTTGTTTTTCATTCATTCATTCATTCCTTCAATTATCTATCCATTTACTGAAACTAATTAAAATGTCTTGTACACAAGTACTATGCAACTGAGCAAAATGAATATTAAATATTGTGAAAATTATTTTAGGTATGATAATAGTGTGGTAGTTATTTAGGAAAATACTCATTTTTATGAAAATGTATGCTGAAACATTTTGAGTGAAGTGTCACAGTATCTAGAACTTATTTGGTTTAGCATATACACACATAGAAACACACATAAAGCAAATATGGTCAATGTTAATTGTTGAAACGGGGATAGATATTCGGGTTAATTATTATACTATTCTTTCATGTTAAAAAAATTGTGAGCTTCTACAAAAAACCTGTACAGATATTTATAGCAGCATTACTCATAACAGCCAAGAGGTGAAAACCACCCAAATGTTCATCAACAGATGAACGGATAAACGAAATGTGGTAGAGGCATACAATGGCGTGTATTCATAAAAAGGAATGCAATACTGACTGATATGTGCCACAACTTAGATGAACTTCGAAAACATTATGCTAAGTGAAAGAAGCCAGTCACAAAGTCTATATGTTATATGATTCCATCCATATGAAAATCCACACAGGGGGCTCTAGAGACAGAAAATATCTTTATAATTGCTTTGAACTGGAGAAGCGAAGAGGGATTTGGGGTGATAACTAAAGGGTAAGAGCTTTCTTTTCAAGGTGATGAAAATGTTTACAATTGTGATGATGGTTGCACATTATTTGTGAATTTAGCAAACACCAAGAAAATTATACATTTTCAATAGGTGAATTATATGTGAATTATATCTGAACAAATATGATTTTTAAAAATTGAAAGATGATACATGCTACAAGATGTATAAAACTTGAAAATACTGTACATGTGGTGCCTCATGCCTGTAATCCCAGTACTTTGGAAGGCCAAGAAAGGAAGATTGCTTGAAATCAGTTTGAGAAAACATTGTGCAAAATTAAAAACAGTGTAAGTGAAAGAAGCCAAAACAAAAGGCCTCGTATTGTATGACTTCATTTATATGAAATATCCAGAACAGGCAAATCCAGAGATAAGTATTTTACTCAGCCAGGCATGGTGGCTCACACCTGTAATCCCAGCATTTTGGGAGGCTGAAGCAGGCAGATCATTTGAGGTCAGGAGCTCAAGACCAGCATGGCCAACATAGTGAAACCCTGTCTCTACTAAAAATACAAAAAAAATTAACCTGGTATAGTGGCATATGCCTGTAATCCCAGCTACTCGGGAGGCTGAGGCAAGAGAATTGCTTGAACCCAAGGCAGAGGTTGCAGTAAGCCGAGATTGTGCCACTGTACTCCAGCCTGGGCGACAGAGCAAGACTCCATCTCAAAAAAGAAAAAAAAACAAGTACATTACTGGCTGCCAGGGACTAGAGGGAAAATGAAACTCACTGTTTAATGGGTTAGGGGGTTTTCTTTGAGATGATGAAAATAATCTGGGGGCTGGGCTCAGTGGCTCATGCCTATAATCCCAGCACTATGGGAGGCTGAGACAGGTCAATCATTTGAGCCCAGGAGTTCGAGACCAGCCTGGGCAACATTGCAAAATCCCATCTCTACAAAAAAATATAAAAATTAACTGGGTGTGGTGGTGTGTGCCTATAGTCCCAGCTACTTGGGAGTCCAAGGTGCAAGGATCACTTTAGCNATAATATTCCATTTATGTATTCATTCATTTATTTTTGAGACAGAGTCTCGCTCTGTCACTCACCCAGGCTGGCATGCAGTGGCGTGATCTCGGCTCACTGCAACCTCTGCTTCCTGGGTTCAGGCAATTCTCTTGCCTCAGCCTCCTGAGTAGCTGGGATTACAGGCACCCACCACCATGCCTTGTTAATTTTTGTATTTTTAGTAGAGATGAGGTTTTACCATATTGGCCAGACTGGTCTTGATCTCTCAACATGAGGTGATCACCGGCCTTGGCCTCCCAAAGTGCTGGAATTAGAGGCGTGAGCCACCACACCTGGCCACTCCATTATTTTTAAAATAGAATTTTTTCCTAGCTCTAAACTTGAGTAGGGTAGGACTTCCATTCCCACTCTTTGTCACTCCCACTGTCTAACCATTCATAGAAGCAGCCCCTATTTTCTATTCTTTCTGCTCAATTAAAAAATTTTTCAGCCAGGCACGGTGGCTCACGCCTGTAATCCCAGCACTTTGGGAGGCCGAGGCAGGTGGATCACGAGGTCAGGAGTTCAAGACCAGCCTGGCCAACATGGTGAAACCCTTTCTCTACTGCAAATACAAAAATTACCTGGGCATGGTGACACATGCCTGCAATCCAAGCTACTCAGGAGGTTGAGGCAGGAAAACTACTTGAACCGGGATCCAGGAGGCGGAGGTTGCAGTGAGCCAGGACTGTGCCACTGCACTCCAGCCTGGGCTACAGAGCAAGACTTCACCTCAAAAGAAAAAAAACTTTTCTAAAACCTCGTTTAATGATTAGACCCAACAAATGGAAACTACAGAAAATCTAAAATTATTTCATAAAAAAATTATCATTTGGAGCAAATCATTTATTCCATTAATTTTGCTTTTCCTTTCTGCTTCATGTGTATCTCCAAGAGTTGATTAAATAAGGTTTTTGAGTACTAGTAGAATTCTCATGCTTATATACCAAAGCTGAAGAGCTACTAAAGTTATACAAGATATTTGCTGAGAAAACCACCCTACTCCTCCCACAGTAAAACAGCAGATCTTTCTAGTGTACCTCATATGCTTCAGATCTGATAATCTTTCCTTCTGAAATTTGGTCTCTTTTTCAAGGTAGTGAAGGTCTACTGTCAATCCTGCTTGGTCAGACTGACAACTTTCGTATTTCATGATTTTCAAGACTTCATTCAATAATTGAATAACTGTTAAGAGGTTTAATTTTCCAGCCTCATAAACATTTCCTATGTGCAACTAAAAAATCAGGAGAAAAAAGTAGTGAACTATAAGTTGATACAATAATAAACTATTCCATAAATACATTTAGGCTTTTTACGATTAAAGTTTACCTTAAAAAAGAGAGAAAAAAAAAATCAAATACCCCCAAACATAAAATGACTTAAATAATTTTGGTCCAATGAAAACTACTGTGAAAGAACTAACAGGCCTTGCTACATTTTTATATTATGTAAAAGGTTGAAAACTAGAATAAAAGAAATGTTAGCCAGGCGCAGTGGCTCACACCTATAAGCCCAGCACTTTTGGAGGCCGAGGAGGGTGGATCACCTGAGGTCAGGAGTTCAAGACCAGCCTGGCCAACATGGTGAAACTTGGTCTCTACTAAAAATACACAAATTAAGCGGGCATGGTGGCCAGTGCCTATAATCCCAGCTACTCAGGAAGCTGAGACAGAAGAATTGCTTGAACCTGGGAGGTGGAGGCTGCAGTGAGCTGAGATGGCACCACTGCACTCCAGCCTAGGCAACAAAGAGCAAAACTCCATCTAAAAAA